CGTACTTGACAGGAAACAAGCCGAGGCTGTGGCTTACTTCATTAACATTTGCTTACACAAAGGGACGAGTAGTTGCGCTCCTTTTTTTGAAAACTTACAATGCACTTCGTATGATATTAACTCTTCTGTGGTGGTTTGGGTACTACTTGATAGATTTAAATCCTCTTGTGATCGGATATAATATTCCTCAAATTAATTCCTTCATGCATGAGCTAATAAGTGACAATGTATGAAACGTTGTTATCAATGGATTATTCAATACCGATAACGATGATTCTACAATTTTTTGGGGGGATGGGTCTGGGGTTCACTAACATATCAAGCTTTAAATGAGACAAAAATTGAAGAGTGAGGTCACTGCTCCGTTTGTCAGGATGATGGAAAATGTTCTGATAAAGAATTGGGTCGTTAGGCCTATTGCCTATTTATATTTTGTAGATTAAAGTTCTTAAGGGCTGGGATGGCACTACAACAAATCCTCCAAGACAAAAGGCAGGCCAGTTTAGGTAGGCCTATATCGTCCCCCCCCCCGCGATTATCACCTCTGTGGGACTCTCTAATAAAGGAGCTATCTGCTTCTGTGCTTTGTTCATGATACTTAAGGTGCACACTTCCGGGAACGGTCCGGTTCAGTGTTTCAGATTTATGTACGTCGCATTTTTCAAAGGTTAGGTTGAATGAAAACTAGCCCGGTTGGACACCAATCTTCATCTTAAATTACGACTGACTTCCAGGATATCAATTCATCTTGCTTTACAAAAATTCGGCAAAAAAATTGTCACATTTTTACCAGTCTAGATAGGTAGCCGAAATCGGCTAGAATGGAAGGTCAGGAAGTATACCAACACGCCAATTACACCCCTCTTCTACTACCTGTTCCACCCCATGTGTCACTTTGGAGTGTTCCAAATTCCCTATATGTCACCGTAACAGCATTAAAACTCTGAAATCAATACATGCAATCATAAGCTGCATAATGCCCTAGTATGACCAACATTCTAATTTTCAGCGATAAGCTTTCTAGTCTGAACAGGTACATGCATAACCAACCCACTCATTCTCAAGTGTGGAATCAATTTTCATATCAATGGTTCCCTTCGTACTTAATTTCTGAAAGGGTTATTGAAAATCTGCAACTGAGCTTGGCACTGTCTGCGGATCTGGTTGGAAATTTTCGAGCACATACTTAATTCACCTATCGTTCGAAAAACGTTGGTCAAACTTTAACTATGGGAGCTGACACTTTTAGGGTCAAGATTGTCATGCTTGTACTATTACTCACGTAGGTACTTGAACAGTATCGACTATTAATGTTACAGAAGATACGAATCTTTACCAATGGCGTGGGGGGGGGGGTTCACACGGGGGAGGGGCAGTTCCTTCTTACCCTCTCCTCGGATGCACCATTTAGTCTGTACTATGGGCGGCCCTTTCAAGGACCTTTATAGGTCTATTCCCATACTAAAGTAGCACGTCAACACACTCAGATGGAATAGCGACAGCCCTCCCTCCCCCCAAGATCCCTATTTTCCGGGGAGGCAAAAGGAGCAAGAGTTCCCACAGGGGGCAATATACCCTTGACCACCACCCCCTGTCTACGTCACTGATCTTCATCTTTGAACAATCACAAAACAATCTTAAGACTGAAGCTCTTAATAGAGGGGTGCCCGGGCCCTTTTTACCTTGTCTATTAGGCCTATGATTTTTTTCCTTTGACATCTTGCATTAAATTTGACACCAGTGTTATAAAAATATGACACACCAAAAACATTGTGAACCCTTTGCCTACTGAATTGAATGTTCACAGTGATGTCTTAACAATGCATGCTTTGGCTGTTTGGGATAGTTAAACCAGCCGGGGAAGGAGATAATGCGCCTATTTCGACTGTGAGAGGGTAAAAAAAACCCGGCCCTATTCAAGTATGAAGGGACTGCACTTACTCGTGCTTGTGCAAAATTGTTTAACTCACATATACATGTACATAGTTTTCTCAGTTTACATCATTACAAGGGAGCGGGCTAAACTTCCCAAATATGTCAACACTGAGTGATAAACTATGGTGCTCGCCGAGTGCAAAAGTACTTGCTTGATATCGGATCGTTTTTGTTTTCAGAAAACTGTAGATCTCATTCCCTGAGCAACCTCCGGAGAAAAGCCGATTTCATT